CTCTTTCATAAAATACTAAAGACCCGCTGAACAGCCAGAGGGGTTAACATGAAGGGGAAATGATCGGCAGAGGGCAGAACAATGTCCTTCTTTTTTTTTTTTTTTCTGCAGCTTATTCATGTCAGCACCAGTGGCCCAGATACCGGGGCCGACTGAGGGAGTCCACTATAGCAGCACCAGAGGCTACAGGCCACCGTCTACCACACACACACACACACACACACTTAGTGGCTGTCAGCATGCCACAGTACAGTCTAAAGCGAGAGTGTGATATCCATAATTTCTCATCCTTCACAAACTTTTGATAACCGTGCAATGAAAATACATAGGGCTCTACAATCTGCAACTTATACAACCCCTTCCGCTTTTTGTAAAGACGGGACACCTCAGGACGAGCAACAGAGAAAGGATCCCTCTTCAAGGCTCGAAGAAGCCATAGAATAAGTAAAGATGGAAAATTCTTACAATAATAATATGATTAATTGATTCAATTAAAGTCATCCATTGAGAAAAAATGCCAACAATTCTAAGCATTCTCCAATCCAGCTCCTCAACTATGAGAAAGTGCAGCTTTTAGTTGTTTTAAATCAATGTAAATGTAATATATTTGACTCTGAGATCAGTCTGATAATGAATGGCAGATTTCCTTATTTATAGAAATGGTATAGCCTAACTGGATAATTTGTTCACAAACCACAATTTAAAGCCCACAGTATTGTGTATTAAAACTTAAATGCAGCTGTTTTGTTGTATAATGCACACGGGTCCAGACCTGTGAAAACTTTATGGCATGTTCGATTTTAAAGCATGAGGTGTGAGGACATTTTTAAAAAGCCTGCTGTAGCCTTGACAGCCACACACACACACACACACACACACACACACACACACACACACACACACACACACACACACCTCATCAAACCGAGACACCACTGCTGTGCGTAAAAGTCATGCCTCATGCATGCTCAGGGCTTTAGCTTGGTCAGAAACGCACAGACATTCACAACAAAAACTCCAAGACAGGAAAGTGATATCCCCTCACGAGATGCCTGATCATGTAGAGACGCCAAAAGTTGCAGGCGGAGGGAAGAATGAGCGGCACGCAGAAACCCAGACAGCTCTGACAGACTTGTTACAGAAAATAGTGCCAAACTGTGCCAAATAACAGCCTGGATGAGCGCTTTTAGCCTGTGCCATGATTCAACTCCAAAACATACAAACTCCCTTTGATAAGTCAACTTTATCACATAACGTGAAGGATCATTCACATTAAATCACGTTGTATGTAAATGATCAACTTTGAGGTGCATCCAGGTGAATGTGAATGATCCTTCACGTTATGTGATAAAGTTGACTTATCAAAGGGAGTNTGTGTGTGTGTGTGTGTGTGTGTGTGTGTGTGTGTGTGTGTGTGTGTGTGTGCTACAGCAGGCTTTTTAAAAATGTCCTCACACCTCATGCTTATCAAAGGGAGTTTGTATGTTTTGGAGTTGAATCATGGCACAGGCTAAAAGCGCTCATCCAGGCTGTTATTTGGCACAGTTTGGCACTATTTTCTGTAACAAGTCTGTCTGGGTTTCTGCGTGCCGCTCATTCTTCCCTCCGCCTGCAACTTTTGGCGTCTCTACATGATCAGGCATCTCGTGAGGGGATATCTCTTTCCTGTCAGCGAGTTTTTGTTGTTAATTTCTGTGCGTTTCTGACCAAGCTAAAGCCCTGAGCATGCATGAGGCATGACTTTTACGCACAGCAG